CTCCGAATGATTTGATGATGTAGCTGTCAACGTCTGTTTCATAGATCTCCACGAGATTGCGGTATTACCATAGGTAAATACGTACCCGGTTTGTGATTTTGCCTTTTGAGGATCTGATAAGTATCCGGCGTCTGCATAACCGATTAAAGAAGCTGTTGCATCTTTGTGGTAGAATAGGCCGAGATCAACTGTACCACGGAGATAACGGAATATGTGTTTGATCCCGTTCCAATGACGTCTTGTTGGACATGAGCTGTACCTAGCTAATAAATTTACAGAAAATGCAATATCTGGTCTAGTATTATTAGCTAAATACATTAAAGCTCCGATAGCACTCAGATATGGTACTTCGGGACCGAGTATATCTTCGTCGTCTTCTCGTGGACGGAATGGATCATCGTGTATGTTGAGAGATCGAATGACCATTGGTGAAGTCAAAGGATGAGCTTTGTCCATATAGAATCTCTTCAACACTTTCTCGGTGTAATTGGATTGGTGGATGAAAATTCCATTCCTCAAATGCTCAATTTGAAGTCCGAGACAAAATTTGGTTCTCCCGAGATCTTTCATTTCAAATTCTTTCATAAGATATTTTGCAGTATTTTCAATTTCATCGGGAGTTCCAATAATGTTTAAGTCATCAACATATACTGCAATTATGGCGAATCCCGAATTTGATCGCCGAATGAAAACACATGGACTAATCGGATCATTCTTATATCCTTCTTTGAGAAGGTATTCACTGAGACGATTATACCACATTCGTCCAGATTGTTTTAGTCCATACAATGACTTTTGTAATTTAATAGAAAACATTTCTCGAGGTTTCGAGCTATAAGTTTCAGGCATTTTAAATCCCCCGGGAACTTTCATATAAATGTCTGTATCAAGTGAACCGTATAAATATGCGGTCACTACATCCATTAGGCGCATTTGCAGCCTTTCAAAAATAGACATGCCAATGAGAAACCTTAATGTAGTTGCATCCACTACTGGAGAATAGGTTTCTTCATAATCAATTCCCGGCATTTGAGAAAAACCTTGGGCAACAAGTCGGGCTTTATATCTAACAATTTCATTCTTTTCATTGCGTTTACGCACAAATACCCATTTAAAACCCACAGGTTTTACGCCTTTTGGCGTAGGGACTATCGGTCCAAAAACATCACGTTTTTCAAGTGATTTTAATTCAGCCTGAATAGCTTCATTCCATTTTGGCCAATCGTGTCGTTTCCGACATTCTTCTATTGATGTTGGCTCATTGTCATTGTTTTCATTCATAACATTTGTGGCAACGGCATAGACAAATATCTCATTAATATCAATATCTTTTCGATTCCATTGCATTCCAGTAGAAACGTAATTTATTGAAATTTCATAATTATCAACGTTTCTATCAGTGTCTGGAATATCTTCCTCATTTAAGGAAGTTGAATCATTATTTGAGATGTTTGTTTTGTCAATATCATTTTCTATGCCAGTATTTTCAAATTGTTCATTTTCTTGTTCAGAAGGATGAACATCTTTGGCATCACAGATCAATTCCTGCCTTTTAGTCTTTCTTGGTTTTATGTCTTTTGATCCAAGTGGCCTACCACGCTTTTTGCGTATAGAAGAATCATTTGCGAGAGATTTTTCAGAATTCTCCGCTGGAATTTCAATTCTGGCAGGGGCATTCATAGCAGGAATATGTGACTTTGTCACTTTCTTTGTGTCTGTGAATGCATCAGGCAACTGATTTGCAACATTTTGTAAATGGATTATCTTTTGCACCTCTTGCTCACATATATTTGATCTAGAATCAAGGTGTGATAATCTTGTTGCATTCCATGTTATTTCTTTCGTACTTGGGTCCGATTTATTAGTTTCTCCCCCTAAGGTTGGGAATACTGTCTCATTGAAATGACAGTCAGCGAACCGTGCGGTGAATAAGTCACCAGTCATCGGTTCAAGATATTTGATTATTGAGGGAGATTCAAATCCAACGTAAATTCCCAACCTTCTTTGAGGACCCATTTTTGTACGATGAGGTGGAGCAATCGGAACATAAACAGCACAACCGAATATTTTTATGTGTGCTAAGTTTGGCTCTTGTCCAGTAAATAATTGCATTGGGGAATATTCATGATATGCAGTCGGTCTAAGCCGAATTAAATTTGCTGCATGCAAAATAGCATGTCCCCAAGCTGATGAAGGTAAATGACACTTCATTAATAATGGTCTAGCGATTAATTGTAATCGTTTAATCAAAGATTCAGCAAGACCATTTTGTGTATGGACATGAGCAACAGGGTGCTCCACATCAATCCCAATCGACATACAATAGTCGTTAAATGATTGGGAAGTAAATTCTCCTGCATTATCAAGTCGGATTCTCTTTATAGAATGATCCGGAAAATGAGCTCTTAATCGTATAATTTGAGAGAGGAGTTTAGCAAATGTTAAATTTCTAGTCGATAAAAGACTAACATGTGACCAACGTGTTGAAGCATCAATCAACACCATAAAATATCGAAATGGTCCACATGGTGGGGCTATCGGCCCACAAATATCTCCTTGAATCCTTTCTAAAAATGCAGGTGATTCAGTTGCAATTTTGTTCATAGAAGGCCTGATGATCATTTTGCCAAGAGCACAGGCCTTACAAGGAAAATCCCTTGATATTGGAACCCTTATATTCTTTAATGGGTGTCCAAGTGAAGTCTTAATGATTTTATGCATCATTACATGGCCTGGGTGACCTAAACGGTCATGCCACAGCATGAATGTTTTCTGATCATCTAACTTTGCGTTAGAAACCAAATTTATTTCGAATGGACTAATATGAGTGAAATATAGTCCTGAGGAATATGCTGGCATTTTTTCACAAATACATTTAGTGCCAGATTTAGTTGTCGTTAGATAAAGATATTCCTTTTGGGTTTCATTCATGGTTTCTATGTGATAACCATTTTGACGCATATCTTTAAAGCTTAATAAATTTCTCCGCGATTTGCTGGAGTATAAAGCGTCATTTATAAGTAATTTTGTCCCATTAGGGAGCATCACATATGCTTTCCCAGAGCCTTCAATGAGATTCGCAACACCTGATATTGTATTGACTTTAGCTTCAACTAAAGTCATTTGAGAAAAATATATTTTATTTCTCAAAATGGTGTGCGTTGTGGCGCTGTCTATCAGACATAGCTCTTTATCATTTGAGTGATCCATATCTTCAATATATGTAAATAAACATAAGTTTGATAAATTATGCATGTTATTTAACATAAAAGTACATATATTACACATTTATCTGTGAGAACAACATAAAAGAAAAAGTACATAATACATGAAAACATAAACTACTATTTTACAACATGCAAAAGTCTTATAATTTATTTTGTGTTATTTTGATCAGTGGCAAAAGCATCGTCCATTATGCTATCATCCATGAAGAAGTCGGACACATCGAATTTTGGCAGAGATGGAGTTGTATCATTGACATAATTCGCTTCCACATTTTTGCCTTTGTTTAAATTCATGGAAGCTTGAAATAACTCCACAAGATGCTTTGCAGTACGACATTTGTTAGCCCAGTGTCCCGTCATGCCACATTTGTAACAAGTCGTCTTCACCGAGGTTTTTGTAGGGCGATTTGTTTGATGGGCTTTTTGTTTGCCCTTGCCCTTGTAATATGGTCTTTCGACCCGTTTATATCCTCGGTGAGACTTGTTATTATGACCACTAAAATTCCCACGTTTAAAATGCCTTCGTGTGCCACTGTGTGTTGCGTTTGATTCAGTGGCAATGTTATGTCCAGATGGACCATAAATCGAAGGACTAGAACCAGTGGGTCTCAGATTATGATTTTTCATCAAAAGGTCATTATTTTGCTCAGCGACCAATAAAACTGATATAAGGTCAGAGTATTTCTTAAAACCCTTTTCTCTGTATTGCTGCTGTAGCAGCATATTAGAAATATGCATTGTAGAAAAGGTTTTCTCCAACATATCAGCATCAGTGACTTTTTGCCCACATAACTTTAGTTTGGATGTTATTTGGAACATAGCAGAATTATAGTCACTGATAGATTTAAAGTCCTGGAATCTTAGATTGATCCAGTCATATTGAGCTTTAGGCAAAAGGACCTTTTGCTGGTGGCCATACCTCTCCTGTAAATTGTCCCATAATTCTTTTGGGTCATCAACCAAAAGATATTCAGATTTGAGACTTTCATGGAGATGGTGACGGAGGAAAATAATAGCTTTCGCTTTGTCTTGGGCAGATGACGGCTTATTTGCCTCAATAGTGTCTTCAAGACCATTAGCCTTCAAATGTGCTAAAGCATCAACTTTCCATTCCAGGTATTTTTGTCCAGACAGATCAAGAACATCAAATTCTCTTTTGCTTATGTTTGCCATGATACTACAAAAATTATTAATTTCAGTCTATTTAGTAAAGTGTATATTCACATAAACAAATACTTACCACTATACTCTGTATTAAACAAGTAATTTGAAATATGTTGAAATAAATCTTATAAACAGTATACTAATTATAAAGTTTATCAACCGTTGATGTATGAAGATTTTCTTTTCTATTACAACTCACGAAGTAATTTATTTATTGTAGTAACTAACTTTGTGCATTATTATAATTATATAGAGGAGACATGTGGCAGTCACAGCTTGTGTCTAAGCCTAATCCTATACAGGTGTCAAAATAATGTTATTGCCACCTGCCCACTTTGATATTAATAAGAGATATATATGCAGGAGTGTATAATAATTAAATTAAATAGATTATATTTATAAAGATAAAACTGATGATTATTAATAAAAATAGTCACTGCCTAACCATAAACATTTATTGGAAATGGGTTACTGACAGTTACTTTGGTTTTTAGATAGAAAGTTGAGGAGCCTCTGGTCATTTATGTAGAACCTCCTCAGCTCCTTCCGTTCTTTGTGTTTAACGACAAACTTGTTAATCAAATGTGTATGGCACTATGCATGTGATTATTTGCTCATAACCGTTTTACTTTCTTTGTGTATAATGACAAAAATAATAAAGAACTATACATCTTCTATTATACAAAGCCAAAATGAAAAATGCACAGTATTCCCGCCCAAAACACAGTCCAAAAATGGGTCGGGTCTTCAAATCATGGGTCTTCAGACTCTTCAAGGCATTGCCGGCTGATCTGACTTTGATGGTCAATAATTGTTGGCCGATCTGACTTTTTTGGTGGCTCAATAAAGATCAATAAATGTTAAGCTCACGGCTCCATAAAGACATTAAATGCTGCTGGGTAATTCAAAAATGGGGGCTTGGACGTGGGCCGAGCAATAAATGCAAAACTCAAAGCTGCATAAACAACATTAAATATTAAAATGAAGTGTACTTTTGTATCTTTAACAATGAGATTATATCGAAAAAAATTGTGCGGCCCAAGACAACATTTAATGCATACCATAGCATCCTAAAATCCATTGGTTAAAACATATCGGATAATAAATTTTAAAGTGCTATAAATACTACTTGAGTTAGCAGTTCAACACCACAACACATCCTAACTACTTGGGAGCAGAGAGATTCAGATGAGTTCATCAAATACGGGAATGTTATTTCCCATTATGAAGAGGTATATTCTAAGCTTTAAAATTATGCAATTATAATTTCATGTGTTTTTTTAGTAATGTTCATCTATGGTTTAATATTCTTTTGTATACTTTCTAACAGTTTGATAAAGACACAAAATATCATGGCAAGATTCTGGGAAGGGAGTTTCTCCAACACATAGGAGGTAACACTTTCTTATAAAATGTTTAATTAATACACAATTTATTTGATCATCAGTTTTAATTGGATCTTAACATTCAAATGTTTTCCACAGGGAAGTTGGCTCCATGCTGTAGTGAAAAGTTCACAACAAGTAGAAAATAAATGATCATGGAGTGTTTGGTATAACAAACTTAATGGTCCTTTAAAACTACTGAACTGTGAAAATTACACCACATTCCTACTTGATCCAGCTGCATTCATCCTATTACATGTATTACCAATAAAAAAAATTAGGAAAAAAGTATTCTGTAATTTAAGTATTGTGAAGTCATGTTTGTCATGCAATGTACAACTCAAATTTAATCATTTGGAAAAGGATGTATCAATGCAGACTCTCTCAGTTGGGCATGTATTATAAATTACTTCAAACGACAAATGGTGAAAATGTGTAGGACTGAAAAAAATCTGGAACAGAAATCGTATAAATGTGTATACACAAATTGTTCATACGTATATATGAAAGTGTGGTTCATGTATACGTTTGTTTAACAATATAATTAGAATGATTACATATAATATAAATAATATATAACATTTATGACTATTTTGTTAAAAGTGTATAGATTCTATTTAGATAGAAGTTCTGTTTTTGCTAAGCTAAAAAAACAAAAAACACATTACACTTTTATTTATAAAATTTATGGTTTACTCAAATGTTTAAAATATATCTATAACAGTTTATATAAAAATATTACTTGAAAAACACAGAGTGTGTCCCTTGAAATCGAAATTTTCTCTCTGATGGCTTTAAAACCTTACTCTGTATAATTTTACAGATCTTATCCACAAGCATATGAGATACACAATCCATACATGTATGACATTTTTGTACTATACCGACCCAGAAATCAATTAAAGCACAAAAATGACAATAATTACAAATAAATCTCAATCAGTTTGCATTAGAGGAGTTGCTAAAACAGAGGCCAAATTAACTTTTGAAACCGTGTTTTAAGTATCTTAAAGTTTATTGTAAGAAGAAAACAGATATGCATGATCATCACCCCACTCTAGGGATGGAACGATTCATAGATTTCTATAACATATATATATATATCTATATATATATATATATATATATATATATATATATATATACACACACACACATATATATATAAATTTTGAAGCAATTATTTGGTGCTTCAACTTTATCATAACAAGAAAATAATTTTTTAGATCATCTCCCCACGCCCAGAGTGAGGACGATCCTCAAAATCCCAAATGAAGATTTTGAGCAAAAAAATTTGAGCGTGTGTGTGTTAGTCATGCAAAAAAATTTAAAATTGAAGACATACATGAAATAAATATACCCAAATGAAGAGAGGACACAACACGTGTGAGATCATTCAATCTGCATCCAAATCGGAAAATTGCGTCGGAGAAGTTAGACTCAACCACAAAGAAGTCGTCAATTAGATTAAAATCGGGATTAGCCACTATGCCTCGCATGTAATCGGAATAATTGAGATTTGAATGAACACAAAGAGCATCAGATCGATCGATGAATTTCTGGAGCAGAGAGGAGGGGGGCGGATGTAATACGGAGTAACCGATGTCTCTTTGGCTGGATGAAGGCGGCTGGCTATTGTATATTGGGTAATGAGTTTATATGTTTAGGGTTAGGAGATAAGAGTACTATGCATACACCGTATTTAGTTATTGGGAATGGGTAGGTTGGGTTAAATCCAAATTTGGGCTGTGGTGATTCTGAAATGGGCTGGATGGAGTTCTAAATTGAATGAACAAAAATCATTCAATTTAACTTAAAATATGAATACTCCCTCCGTCTCCGAAAGAAGTTCCCACTTTCCTTATTTGGATGTCCCTAATTTAAATTCCCATTTTCTTAAGTGGAAAGTTATCTACATCAAAACAGTGTCAAACAGTGCAAAATAGTGTCGAAACAGTGGCAAAATAGTAAAATTTACCCCCTGATAAGTTTACTTGCATAAAAGTGTGTGAAAGTCAAATGAGAACTTCTTTCGGGGAAGGAGGGAGAATATTTTTACTACATACGGAATACGTAGTATATTACTCCGTATTAAATGGAGTGATGGTGTTTAAATGGTACGTAGTACAACAAAAAAGTGGGTGTTTTTTACCAACATAATAATTGGGCTAAGATTGATTCAAATTTTAGTTGGGTGTTTTATATAATAATATTAATTTGTTGATTGAATGTGATAAGGATGTTTTTTACTTGGACTTTTTTCAATCCCAGACCGACCAAATCAGATATAAAAAGATCAGACCAGACTAGACGTAAAAAGATCAAATCGGGTCATACTTAACTTCTGTAATTATAAAATACATAGAGACCAGACGTAAACAGATCAGACCGTACCATACTTGACTTCAGTAATTTTAAAATACACAGAGACCAGACGTTTATCAGACCAGTTCAGACCATATCAGGTCAGTCCACAGTTACACAGATCACACTAGACTACACTTAGACAGACCAGATCAAACCAGACCAGCAAATTTACAGTCCAAGTAAAAACATCCTAAGTAAGAAGTAATATATTCAAAGTGTGATATACAAACATACGTCATATTGATCTGCAGTGAAGATGGTCAGCCAACTGACCATACCACCAATGTAGTGTATAAAGGAGTTTTTCGCAATTTATAGATTGTGAAACCTTATATAACATTTCGTTATTTTTACTTATTTCAAAACGTACTTACTATAAACTCCGTATCTATGAGTTTTCATTATTCGATCTTTACTTATAATAATAATGCATGTTACGTCTATGACAATTTGCATTATTCCACACGACCAAGTAATATTTACAATAATATCATATCGCTATTACATTTTAATATCCCGCGCATCGCGCGGGTGAAAATCTAGTGCATGTCAGTAATAAAATACAAAACCCGTGACTAACTTAGTGGATGTGAGAAAGACTTTTTCGCATTTAAATATGAGCATCAGATAATATGGCTTATTGCTTTCGTTGTAGTACGTAAAGTAGTACTCGGTATTAGTTATTGGTTTAGACATTAGATATCCACTTAGTGTTTTCTACATATGATATCCACCATATATGATATCCACCATATATCTTCCTTCATACTACGTATTTAATTTCTAAATCCGTGTTCTTCTTTACTTCTTTATTTTATGAAATACTTCTCATACCTTTAAATGAAGAGTTTATCAAGATTGAAGAGAAGAACATATTGAAGGTACGTATGTTAACATTTTTTTTTTATAGTGGGTAAACAAATATAATTTTAATTTCGGCTAGTCATATATTCCTCGTAATTTTTGAAGATAAAATTAACAGTAATAATATATGATGATGTTCGTACCTGCAGGATGATTTCTTGGAGATTTTTGAGCAGATTCGTGCTGATAACGTGTTGTGAAATGAAGAAGATGCAGAATAGATTGAAGAGATAGATATATTAATAATAACCTCTAAATAACTTTTCTTAATCTCTGAAATTTCTGAGTTTCTCAATTACATTTACAAAGGATTGAGCACCCTATTTATACTAGTTGGCTAGGAGATGAATCATCAAAGAATGATTCTACATAATTTGTTGGCAACATTAAACCTAGCCATCTGTCTATTACAAGGACTAGAATTGGATTAGTGTCCTGATGACAAGGATGAATAATTCACACCTGTAATTCCCATGATTTTACAACAATAATAACTTTATTAAGTGGTCATATTTTTAAAATAGTCATAAAATGTGTCAGTCGTCAGGAGTTGCTCCGGCGCCTGTTTCTCAGTCTGTTATGTCCTTGCAGGCTTACACCAGAGAACACAATACGCTACTGAAAGATTAAATGATGTAAGGCGGGGAAGATAACAAAAGAAGAAACCATTAACAGCCACCCTTCACAGCCACCCCGTCTTATTTCTCTTCGTCGCTGTCTCTGATTACGCCACCTCCATCCCCTTCCCGCTTCCACTACTCGGTAAGCTATTTCCTTAATTTTAATTCTTAAAACTAAAACTGATTCATAATTTTGTGTCAGATTCATTTACTTTATTCCAGTAACAGTTTATCTTTTATGCTTCCTTATGGCGTTTGATATATTTTGTGGTAATTCTTCCAATGAAAACGTTTTTAGGGTTTGAAATGAATACTTCAAGAAAATATATGGATAACTATTTACACCTGTTTGATAATCGGCCAAGACGGACTGGTGAAACTGGTGCCCCAGTCACCTAACCACTTTCTAAACCAGAAATTGGTCGGAAATGGTAAAAACCTGATTGACCCTGTTATACCCGGCCCATATCTGATTTGGTATAAATAGGTTGACGGAGTATAACCCGTTTTTTGTTTTTTGAGTAGTTAAATTGTCTCTGATCTGAAAAAATTGCCATCTTAACATTGTAAAAGATTGAAAAAGTATGTGATATACATAGTTCTAGAAAGATAATAAAACCAAAAGTATCTCATATTTGTTAAAACTAAGTAACTTCGGAATATTATTATTAGTCCAGACTCCAGAATAGATATTAAACTTTATTTTAAAATATTGTATGTGTTCCGGATGCATATTCTGTATCATTTTTTTAAGAAATAAACTTATTTGTTAATGATAAGGGTAATAAGGAACATGGCAATTAAGTCAGAGACTACAACGGGATGAGACATATAACTGAAAGATTGCCATGGACTTTTTCAGTTCGCTAATCCTGCATCAATGTAGACTTAAGTAACAACATTCCTACACCTGCTGCGCAAGACAAAGTTTAAAATAAAAAAAAAAACATTTTTCGGCAACACATGAAAAAGCATGAATAAAGAAACCTGTTTCAACAGCCATTGGAAAGGAAACTGGGGTTTGACCAGTCACCACCAAAGGCAAATCTCCAACCTCTTCTATAGCACTTCTCACACCATCTTCATTCACCTCCCCCTCCCCTGTCCCACATTTTTACGATTGCTTAGTCTATATGTTAGGTGGTGATTTCTGACAAACACTGCCTTCTTCCCTTCTTTGTATCGTCACCTCCACATCAATACTACCCTAAATATCATCTGCATTATTGGATTTAACACTCGTTGCTTCCTGGGTTGATGGGGTTCTCCCCACCTCCGATTTCTACTGAAGAATTCAAGCTTCATTCCACTAGTTCACCCACTACTTCATTGCCATTAGAAACCAGGCTTTCAACAATATGGCTCCCCGTCTCCTACGCCTTGGCCACTTGTTTCTACTTGGTCTCATTCTCATCTAAACTCATTAGCCACTTATTACGTGGATGCACCTGTCCTTGCCCACCCCCAGGTCCCATATGACTTTTCTCTAATTCAGAAGCCATAATAAATATTGGATGGACAAAAACGATCAACATGTCCTAAAACCCCAGAGATAAAGCAAAAACTTGGGAGTTTTTCATATCTAAAGTCTGCCCATAACCAATTTTCATCCTCCTTTTCAATACACTCTTGATATAAATATTCACCTTGATGCGTAAAATGGACCTCCATGTTGCTCCAAACGTTCATTGAAGTTTCCCATACCAGTCGCAACCTTCTCTGTCATAAATCTCAGGGGTAGATTGTGTATGTGGACTATTAAATCAGCATATTCTAAGTCTACTTCGTGCAGCCTATCGGTCTGCCCAAGTCGTCTCACCACCACCAAGTTCTATTCAAAAGACCACAATCCCTCCCGGATCACCTAGTTGAATATCTCCTTCATGGTAGAATTGGATCAAGAATTTCGTGTTGCCAGTTTCCTCGATAGTAACTCCCTTGGCTGGTCGCCATACCATTGGCATTGTTACCCCAAACGCTATAGTACATTAGGACGAATATGTTTGTCTGTCAGACTGTCACGACTCGCGCCACTGCTGAGAACCTCTGTAAGTTCGCGTCCTCCTCACCGCCCATTATTGCTCCTCATTTGATGACCAATCCCCTGTTTCTTTTGTTGCTTTTCCATAGTAGCCACAAAAGAAACAACAACAACAACATTACCCCAGTGCCGCGAAGGCTTCCACCTACGGTGGGGTAGGGGTGGTCAGATGTACAAAAAGCTACCGTCCAAAGGGTGGACTAACTACAACCTGCTCACAAGGAGCGTATCACCCAAGGTTGTTAATATCGTATTTATAGATCCAATCGGTATAAGGACTTCAAAATTGAATCAGAAAATTGAATCGCAAATCGTAAGATTTTACTAAATAAATTAATTTTTAAAAAATATTAGATAAAATGAAATTCACAAGATAGCATAATAAATTAAGCAAAAGAATATAATGGCTTAAGCAAAATGCACAAAATAATCAATAACAAAATAATATTATGTAATTAAAAGAACAAAAGTCATTCAACAAATAAATATGATGTTTTAACTTTTAAGCAAATTTCGCAATAAACTAATGATTGATAAGAATACATAAGCAGTACTTGAAATGTTTATTTTGAAGAAAACAATATCTGCATATATACACTTAATAGTTCAATTATAAACAATTCTTAGTATTGAGGGGTTGGTAGTTGGTAAAGCTAAGAAATTGTAGTGAAACACTCGCAGGTTCCAAAGCTAGCCATGAGGAGATTTGTATTTTGTATTCTTGGGATGTTTTTACTTGGACTGGAATTTTTTGGTCTGGTCTGGTAAATGTTTGGTCTCTGTGTATTTTATAACTTTCCAAGTCTGATATGATCTGGTCTTGTCTGGTATGGTTTATTTCACACACTGGAAATGTCAAACCAATTTTCCCTCTTCTTGCCTTCTTGGCTTATATAATGTCGCCATGCCTTGAATCAGCTAGTAACCTACATGACGTTAGACATGTTAGAAGCCTGTGTAATTCGGGCTGTATTTTAATTAAAGCTTTTAGTTAACATGTCAGCAGGCTTATTAACGGCTCGAGTAAATTGGGTCACTTAGAACATGATTTTTATACGATTCAGATCGGCATAATACTTTTGAATCATAAAATCGTACAATTTTACGATTCAAATCACGATTTTGACAACCTTGGTATCACCCCCCTCGGCAAAGACAAATGTGCTAGACATGAAACAGAGAGGAGAAAAGAGAGAAGCTGACAGTGACTCAATTTATGAGAAAGAAAACACCTGAAGAAGAAGCCGCCAAAGCTTGCTCCCCCCTCGCCGATGCCCACTCTCAGCTATTGCTCCTCTAGCCTGCACAATCGGCAACCGCAATAGATCTTCCGCCTAGGATTTCCTTCATCGTGTATACTATTATGATTTTTGTTTTCCACTATTAAGTATCATTATTATTATGTATTTCTATTTGATTTCTATCAATAACATTTGTTGTTTTTAAATATATATATATATATATATATATATGTGTGTGTGTGTGTGTGTGCGTGTGTGTGTAATATATATATATATATATATATGTGTGTGTGTGTGTGTGTGTATATATGTACACACATATACATATATGTTTTTGTTGACCGGGCTGGCCTTTTGCTTTTGATTTCACCTGTTACCGGGCGACTTAGACTCCAGCCAATAGGAGACGACCGCGGCCCCTCAAATGCCGGGTAACCACGGAGCCGTGCTGAGTATCCATAAACCCTAGGCCCAAATGCTAACTGTAAATCCTAAATGCTAAACTCTAAAACCTAAGGGTATTTTAGGCTGTTTTTTCCACACTAAAGATCATATACGTCCCAGATATGAAATAAAACATTGGCAGTCCTAGTGTTTTAAAATGCTAACTTTTAGTTCTATATAGAGTAATTTTCTGTATGTAATTTTCATTCTCATTGTGTTACAAGATCATACATATATATAATGGCCGATAAATATGGTCCCAATGATGATCATGAGGTGCACATTTCTACGCGTACTAAGGAAAGGAGGGGTCGCAAAAAGAAGAATGGTAAGAAAATAATTGAATGGGGATTTAATAAGCAAGCAGTTGGTAAATGGGCCGAAGAGTTCAAGACTTTCACCGGAAAGCTAGTTCGTGCTCATGTGAACATTAATATCAAAACCTGGAAAGAAGTTCCAACATCATTGAAAGAACATATGTGGCGCGAGATACGGGTACACACATTAATGAGCTATGAAATGAATGTTTATTTCAGCTTTAATATAAAATATATTAACATTTTGTTGGTTATACAATAATGCAGCGTGATTATTTTATCGAAGATCGTATGAAAAAAGTGATTTACTCAAAGTTGGCTAAGCTTCATCGAGATTGGCGCAATAAAATGAGAACCGGATATGTCTATAAGACTAGGCCAGTGGGACAGAAAAATGGCGAGGCTTATGACAAATACAAAGACCAAATCACAAAAGAACAATGGGAAGAGTTTATGGCTAGGAGTATGACTTCGGAGTTTAAGGTATATATTATACTTGTATACCTTAAGACATCATGATTCTCACCTCAATATCCAGTAGTTGAATATATTTTATGTTACTGATCACATAACAATTATATTTTGTAGACTTTAAGCGAGAAGAACAAACAAGCTGCCTTAATGAACGAATACAACCACCATATGGGTCGATCAGGATATGCATTATCCATCCCCAAATGGAAAGAGCAAGGCTTGTTAGATCATTTTATGCCTGCCTCTGAGGTAGTGTCTACCAATTCGAGTGAGCAAAATGCCGACAAGTATCCTAGACATGTGTACTGGTTTTGTGGGAGAGCAAACTTGACCCAAGATGGACAATTGAACTTCCCGGGTAATAGTGAAGGCATGTGGGCAAAAAAAGAGAAATTAGTAAGTCCAATTTGCTTAGTGTAATTGCGTCATTTTAAACTAGTTTTTTTTACCATAATCATTTTAAAGTTAGAAAAACAGTAATTATGGTCCTAACTCCTAAGGAATGATGTAATTAAAATAATATTGATTTGCTTATCCGTTGGAATAGAAAAATGTGCAAGAGGTAATGGCTGCGGGTACGTGGGCTCCGAATGGGCGCCATGATATCTTGTCTGAGGTCATTGGCCAGCCTGACCATCCAGGACGCGCACGAGGTGTTGGTGGTGTTGTGGGCTATACTCATTTATTTGAGCGAGAGTTGAGAAGTGCATGCCCTGAGAAAAAGAATAATTTAAATGATGAGCAATTAAAGCTTTTGCAAGAGAAATGGCGAAAAGATATGGATGAGTTCTTTACTGCGCGAGGTTTTCAGGCTCGTTTCACTTCTACCTCAGTGCACTCTGAGTCTGTGGGTTCTCCATCACCATCAATTCCACACAAAAGTTTCAAAGTAAGAATTTTGTTTTATAACACTAAAAGTTAATGGATATTTTAGTTGGCTTTTTACTAAGTTATTATTTGTTGTAATATAGGATGGTACATCATGTCAAGTGTGTGTAGAGTCGAGTACATATGCGGAAGATGAGACCTTAGACACTGTGGCCCGTGCGTTGGCTTACAATCCAGGTCCCGAAGGCACTTTGTGTGATGCTCCCATTTCAGGGAGCACTGTGAGAGTGAAAATCTCTATGGTATGTGATGGTTTTGATCAGTGTCTGCTTCCCATTCCTAATGGTAATGCACAAATCACTGTTCTGGCCGATGCTATTGGTACCTTTGTTCAATGGCCAGCTCACTTGGTAGTTTTTGGTGGAGAGGTATTATATTCAATGATTATTATTTTTATTTAAAAAAATAATATTATTACAAAATATAACTTTGACTGTATTATTATTCATTTCAGGAACCACTGCCACTGAAGACAGTGAAGAGGGATAACAAAAAGAAACCAGAGAAACCATTTGTTCCAAGACAGCCCCCTAGAGAGATGTATTCTATCACTACATATCCACTTGTCAACGATGATACTTTAAAGACACTCAAAGGCGATATGTTGGAGATGCATGAGACATTGAAGTACTTTAAACCTGAGTTTTGTAAGTTTTCATTACCTCAATCCTCAGAGTTGTTCCACTACAACTCAGTTGATGATATGTTTGGCTCCGTCATTGAGCGTAAGGATATAAAGGAGTTCTTAGAATGTGACAGCATCAATATGAGTATAATATTAGCTTTTCTAGTGTAAGTTCTCTATATTTACTTCTTTGATATAGTGAACAGCTTCTAAACAAACCTATGAATGTTAATGTAAATAATTCTCCGTTTTTTTTAATGAAGTTGTCTAAATGCAAAACTGGAAGAAGTTGATGTTGATGGTATTGCCTTCTTGTGTCCATCATTATGCTCTTATGCTTCTTTTGAAAGGGATATGGAAGGCGTTACATCATATCTAGTGCAAAATATGAATGATCTTTTTCATAAAAGGTTGATTGTTCTTCCATATAATCAAAGGTACAAATTCAACCGTATATCTTTTTATTTCGTATTTGAAATACACACACCTGCTCTTTTGTTTGTATATACACTAAGCATCTATTATAATGTTTTGTGACCTCTAGAGATCATTGGCTATTGGTCGTTATTTGTCCAAGTGTGAACAAGTGCTATATCCTTGACTCTCTCCCGGGAGAATGCGATATGAGTTGCTTGAAGAAAAAGTTGTCATTGTAAGTATTATTAAAGAAAATACACTTTAATTCACCGATTATCCTTGGATTTTAAATTGTAATTTGTATAGGTAATTACTATTTGAACTTGTGTTGTAGAGCATATAAGGTTGCTTCTGTGCACTATGGGAATGGGAAGTCAACCGAATGGCAATACCTTAAGGTTATCATTGTATATAAGATATGATAAAAAATTATCACCATGAATTGTAAAGTAATATGTCTATTTTAAAATTAATCGCTATTTTTATTTTATGATTTGTCAAATAAAGTGTGCAAGACAAATAGGGAGGGCATCATGTGGGTATTATTTGATGCGCTTCATGTGGGAAGTGTGTTTCTCATTACAAGGTAGCGACGATATTGGAAAGGTATAACTTTTATGCCAATTAGTAACTATTGTTTTGTGTAAGCATTTTAGTTGTTACTTGACTTGATTATTTAAAAGCTTATTATAACTGTTTATTTCAGGACTGGATATCAAGAGAAGAACCGTATTCAATCGTTGAAATTGATGAAATGCGTAATATGTGGTGTAGGCATTTTCTAGATATTATTATGGAACTTTAGACTGGATTTAGCCATGCGAACAAGACATGCATATGTAGTATGATCCATTTGGTTTAGTAGCATGTACTATGTGTCTGCTATGTTAATTGATTGGTACATAGGGCAGTGTTGTCCCCTTGGGAATCTGTTATATATATATGACCATGTACTAGCATAATGTATGAAAGGGTTCGTTTGTTCATGCATATTACACTTGGCTCTTATCCAAAATTCCAAATCTAATGGAAATATTTAAAGCTCAGTTGCCAAGTTTTTCTGTTTTATTAGTTAACATTTTTATCAAATATAGTTTTTTATTTTGCGCGCTGAATTGTGTGTAATAATCAAAATAAATAAGGTTGAAGTTTTTTAATTATGTGAAGTTCATGGAGAGGCCAATTATATCTTTATATCATTTTTTCTTAATTTTATTTATAAAATATGATCTGAATATAATTTTTGACAATTCTGTTATTTTTAGATTCAGTCAAATTTCAATCCAACAAGTTGTGGACTGTTATTGTAGTGGGGTGGTTACATGCCGTAAATTATACCGTACACCCGGATGTACGGTTCTCACTGTACATCCGGGTATTTTTGTAATTCTTTCTGATTTGCATGGCCCTAGTTCCTCCGTAATCTTTCTTTAATTCTTCTCGCGAGAGCTTGAGTCCACTACGCATATGCTCTCTTCCATTTTTGACTCTTTTTATATGCTCTCTTCCATCTTTGGCTTTTCTCTTTTGCTTTTTACGTAGCTTTTTGTTTTATACTGGTAATTGTTTGTGATTTACGTAACTCTTTTCCATGGATTTTAAATATGATGTATATTTAAGGTATTAATGGTTTCTTTTTTTATTTTTAGTTTAAGATGAATATTTATTAGTTTATTAAATATTTAATGTGTTTTTTTATCATAAAAAACACCTTAAATATTTAATAAACTAATAAATATTTAAGGTGTTAATGTTTTATTTTTTAATTTTAGTTTAAGATGAATATTTATTACTACCTCCATCCCGCTATGATTGTCCCATTTTACCTTATCGGTCTGTCCTACTAAGATTGTATCATATCAAATTTGGTGAAGTTTGTGTGTGCTCTAAATCATTTTTACTTTATCAATTCAATATCAATTACATAAACCACTTTTTATTGATTTGTGCGTCACCCCATCGCGTCTCATTGTTAGTTATAAATGCTCAATTTATACTCAGTTATGCTCATTTTTAAAATGTCATATCAATGCATATTTCAGAAGTACCATTTACATTATATTCACATATTGAAATTTCATAGGAGTTTATTATAGATATAATTTAATAATTTTTTGGCAAATAAAAAATAAGAAAAAGAAAGTGAATTATAGGATATGAAGCGGAGATCACGATACTCAATATCAGACTGCTAATACTCAACAAGATTGGTATGATGATCAGTAAAAGTTCATTAATGCTCATTTAACAGAAGTGCACATTGATATGAAAATCGTAAGGTTTGTTAGTTGAACATCACGACATTGTCATTAAGCACCAAACAGAAATGCGCTTTTTCTTCTTACGTTTTTTATTTTTATTTTTGCCTTTTGTCTTCTTCTCCCCTTATTTTGATCTCCTATTTCTTTTTTATTTTTATGTAAGTTTTCTACCATAATTTTACGTATTCTCGTGCATATTGGTGTAATGCTCAATTAAAATTTTTCAATGCTCGTTTCATAAGTTATGTATTCTCATTTAATATTAAAGCATACCGTGGATTTTAAATAAGCTTTTTTAATTTTTCGATGCTAATTTCGTAAGTATGTATGCTCACTTAATAATGGTGTGATGCTCATTTTATAAGTTATGCATGCTCAGTTGGTATTGATGGTATGCTAATTTTAAAAATGTTATATCAATGCATATTACAAACACACCATATTACCTAAGATTCACATATTGAAATTCATAAGAGTTGAGTAAAAATATAATTCAATATGTTTTTATAAGAGAAAAAATAAGAGAAAGAAAATGAATTATAAAATATGAAGTAGGGATCACGATGCTCAGTTTATGTTATATTCAAATGAGCATAACAATTAAAAGAAATGAACACACACAATGAATATTTGAGCAAAATTAGATAGTTCAAATGAGTTTTTTAATTTTTCGATCCTCATTCTGTAAGTTACGTATGCTCATTTGGTAATGCTTTTATGTTCATTTTAAATTGCCAAATTAATGTATATTTCAAAAATACTCTGTATCATATTACATTAGAATCACATAAGAGTTGTTTATATACATGAGGGAAAAGATCACGATGCTCAATTGTATGATTCTAATACTTACTAGAGGAAGTTTGATGCTCAATGAAAATGTTTTTATGTTCAACTAATAACACAGTTTACTATTTTCGTATCAATGCTCATTTTGTAAGCTACGTATGCTCATTTGATATTGATGTCATGCTCATTTAAAATGTCATATCAATGTATATTTCTAAAATATCATATTACATTAGATTCACATATTGATATTCATGTGAGTTGATTATAGATATAATTTTAAAAAATATATAAAAAGAAAAATAAGAAAAAGAGAGTAAGTTAGAAAATATGAAACAAAAATCACGATGCTCATTATTACACTTCTAATACTCAAAAGTATATGTCTGATGCTCATTAAAATGCATTAATGTTCATTAAACAGAAGACAAGATTTTAACTTAAATAAACAATGAACATTAATATAACACTTTAATATGAACACTTTTACTTATGGACTATTGAAATTAATGAGTTTTTATATACTAATATGAGTATAATGTTTGACTTAAATGTATACTCCCTCTGTCCCCCTGTTATTGTCTCATTGCGGTTTACGATTTTTGACTGACGATAAAGTAAATAGATCCCCATCTACACTCAAATTATTTTTAGATTTTTTTTTACTTATTCAGAAACTACATTAAAAACTTTACAAAGTCGCACATAACTGAATCAAATTTTATAAAAATTTGAAACATAAAGTAAGAGATTAAAAGTGATTTGTGTTGACCAAATGAATAGAAAATGAGACAATAACAAGGGGACGGAGGGAGTATTACATTTAAAAAAACATAAATTTGCATTATTGTAACATTACAAAATTAACAAAATTAAGTTTAAGTATTGAATAGGGAATTAAGTTTAACAATAATATATTTATTGATAATTTATTAAATAATTTATTTGAAATTTGTAAGAGTGAATTTGTGATACTCCGTATAATCCGTAAGAATTATAAATATAAAAAAAACCATGAGGAGAAACTCAGAAACGCATAAGCTATCTGGTGAAGTACAGAGTATAGTTAAATACGAAGGAGAATAATACGAAGACAGTCAATACGAACTCAAGAGTAAAAAGACGGATGAGGAGTATAGTTAAATTGGGCTGGAAGTTTAACAAAATCACAAAAATACCTGGCTGTACGGTTCCCACCCGTACAGCCGGGTGTATCATATACGAACTCGTTACATGCATAGATACCTACGTGTGGTTAATTATTCCATTCGTCGTACTTGATGCAAGTTTCAACTGCACAGACGTTACTCTATTTCGATCAAACTGCCCCTTTCCTTCCTACTTGTAATTAATTCCCTCATCATGACACCATCATCATCAAGTAAAAACAGGAACTGGTTAATGGGAAAGCAGGCGTGCAAAGTGGTGATGGTGGTGCTGATTGCCGCTTGTTGGATGGACCCAAGAGCATGTGGGGTGGTGGAACACAGGGTGGGGGGAGAGGAGTGGGGGTGGACCATCCCTCCCCACGACCACTTCTACGGCAACTGGTCTTCCTCCCGCTCCTTCCGGCCGGGAGATACCCTTCTGTTTGACTTTGACCCCGTCTTCTACAACCTCATCCAAGTCTCCAAAAGGGAGTACGATGCCTGCACCGCCAATCAGCCGTTTCAGGCCTTCACTGACCACGCTCCACCGCTCATCATCCCTCTCAGGGAATCGGGTGTCTTCTACTACCTTTGCAGCCTCTTGAACTACTGTTCGTTGGGCCTCAAGCTTAACGTTTCCGTCCAGCCGCCCACCCCACCCCCTCTTCCGCCGCCCAATGGTTGAATGGTACGTCATATATGGGTCGACTTCCTAGCTATCCGGAGAGAGAGCAGATATACTGTATATGTCTTGTAATACATGAATCTCCTCTCTGTTCATTCTAGTATGCATGGTTAATAGTTGATTGCCTCACTGCCTACATGATACATTTTCTCCAATGCTCTGTATTGAAATATTATGTTTTCTCATTATATAACTCTTTTCTCTCCAATTAATAAAGATCTAAATTTGACTCTGCATATTTTTAAGCAAGACTTCCTCTTGTTTTAGTTTTCCCTTACTTTTCATGTTTTACTTTCTACCCATCTTCTCCTTTATATATTTTCATCTTATATTTGGCCTTTTCTATACAATTTACTATTACTAAAATAAAGCATGAGAATACTAAATTTGAAGCTCTCACGGAGGAAAATAGGAACTTGGGTTGAAACACTGTCCAAAAAACTCTCCACTTTATTGGTGGAAAAAGTTGATTGATCTAGCTATTTAATAGAGACCTCACAACATTTTTCATCATTCAAGTGAATGGTTTTAAACGATCTTGTTCATAGACAATCCACAATATTCCTCTTTGCACTCGTATTAATAATGTGCTCAGTGTATATGATTTACAACTATTTTTTTTTACAATGCACGTAGCATTCAAAAATGTATTGCCATTGTAGAGTATTGAGTTATCTATTTTTTATAACTAAAAACTACATTATGAAACCAGTACAGTTAGGTTTATCACATACTATATCAAACCAAATGTTACATATTGGAGAGTATTTCCTTTTGGGTTCAGCTAAACCACAAGCGTAAACAACTCAGGCCTAGCAGTTTTTCTTATGCATCACTAAAAATTGTTTTTTCATTTCTACAATATAAAAATTCTACGAGTTCTGTGTAGTCCCTCTATTATTACAAGCATGAAACACCTATATTTTGGAACATAATTTCGCTTGCATAACCCTAGTCTAAAAACTTTCTCATTGAGTTGTTTGTAAGTTGCATCTGTTTAAAGACAATAAGTGGGGTTAAAACTACATAAAACTAATTATTCAAATTTTTTAATATCAGTCTAAACGGCTCCTGAGAAATAAAATTTTAGTTGTTGTTTGAATGACTTGAGAAAGAAAGGCACAAAGTCTCTTCTCCATGTCCATTTTGTAGCCATCCAACATATGTTAGTTGCTTGTGCAAGCGATAGATAAGAAAGAAAACAACATAAATTACATAAGGTGAAAAGTCAATAGTAAAATACAAGGACTTCAAATAGAAAACTTCATATGTGAAGATCTCAAAACTATATTTAAGTCAATAAAGAATGATACATACTTCTCTATGATCAAGAATTATAATCCTCAAGAGTTGTGATTACAACTTTTGATTCCTAAGAAAAGGGACTCCTCCCTAATTCACTTTTTTACCCAAAAACAGAATTCAATCATTGCTCTAATATCAACAAATTACAGTTTAGTTTGTATGTACATACAGCAAAGGAGGGGGAAGGGGATAAACTACACTTTCTTGAACAGTAAACCTTCAATAGCTTCAAAGTGATTCGTACAAAGGACAATTTCGACAAAAAGGGCAAGTAGGGCGACGCTTGAACCAAATGTCAATGCAATTGACATGGAAAAGATGTCCACATTTAGGCAATACCCTGACAATATCATCATCCTCATAATCTGCCAAGCAAATACAACACTCTGAAGAAGAGTAATCAGAATCCTTCTTCTCATACTCCTTCACCTCTGAATAAAGAAGCTTTGGGTAGCTATCCAAGTACACCAAAAACATTGATTCACCAATGCTTATTATATGCTCCTCTTCACCATCCACTCCTGTGGTGGCAGCACTTCGGTGTGCGCTGTCCCCGGGATCACCTTTAACACATTTGTATACAAGAAAAGGGAGGATCACAAGAACCGCTAGGATGCCTAGCGAAAACCCAATGCTGTAACACAAACTTTCCCTGTGTCCTACAACTTCATAGGAACCTCCACTAGCTACCATTGTGTTTGTGTAGTTATACTCCATCTTCTCTCAATGGGTTGTATTGGTAATTAGAAAAAGAATACTATTACCTCTAATATCTTCTCTAAGTGTTTCTAATTATATTATACTCCGTAACTTAGGCCCAAGACTCAAGCAACTTAAAAGAATCTTCAAAAGTTAATCTTGTCAAGTTTGCATCTTTCTTGCTTTTGATTTAGTTATTATTAGTACAAACTTTTACGAATGTAAGCTTTGTTAGAATCCAAAATTGGAATATTGAAGTGATAATCATGCGTTATATGACTTCTTTGCTCCCTCTGGTGCCGGCCAATAGTTAAACAGTAAGGATTGGAAAAAGGCTTTCCTAATTTTGGCTTATTTCGGATATGGAGGTATAATAAATACAGCAGAAAAACGTCAAAATAGTGCATTTAAGTAATGGTCTGTATGCAAGAGCCTTAAAAGAAGCGCTTCTCACTTTTACTTTAAAAAATTAAAATTATTGTTTTCAAGTGACGACATCTACTTAAAAAAACTGCTTATGGACTTTTGAGTGAAAAGTGTCTTTTACTTTTTCTATTACACACAAAACACTTATTTTACCAAACATTATCAACTTTTACTTTTGAAGATCACTTTTTTCTCAAACACTATCAACTTTTACTACTAATCACTTTTTCCAAAATCACTTCAAAAAGTGCTACTCCCTCCGCCCCGCAAAGTAGTCTCCTTTTGGAAAGTTTTGTGTGGTTTCACATTCATTTACCTTTTTCTTACGCAATCACAACCATACATTTCCACTTTATTCTCACTTTTTTAAACTCCGATCCAAGTCAATGCGGGAACCATTTTATGAGACGGAGGGAGTATTTTTTTGAGCAAAAGCATTTGCATACACTCAACTCTGACGCACGAAAAGTACATCATTTTGCACTCAACATTATAAAGTACGTTAATGTGTCACAACTGTCAATGTGTCACAACTCACAACTATGGTTACTTCCATTCGATAAATGCAAAATAGTTCATTAACATGCATCATGTATGCATAGAATGTTGACTTGATTTTTTGGCATATACAGAATTCAATAGAATGCAATAAACACTGAAAAAGAATGTTAACTTAATCTTTTGGTGTTAATTAAGTACACATACCCTAAATTGTTCATAACATTTTGGTTTTAGTTATGTATCTTTTGAAATGGCTTCTTTTATAACGTTAAGAACTTATTTAATTGCACTAGAATTAACTTTTTTAATTCCTTTTACACATTTAATTAATGTATTTTCATTTTGGTGAGACACTTCGAAGTAGGGATGGACCGGGCCCGAGTATGTACCAGGACCGGACCGGGTCAGGCCGGGCCCGGGTTCATATTTTTTTTAAATGACTTTTCAAATTAATTTCCACCCCCAAACCACCCAGCCGCACGCCCACACACACCTAGCCACGGACCAAAGCCCAAAGTCTAAAAAAAAAAGACTGGCCCAAACCGGTCCCCCTTTTACCTATCCCGTACTTAGGCATGACAATGGGTCGGGTCGGGGCGGGTAGTGCAAAACCCAGACCCGACCTGCCCCGTGACCCGGAACGGGTCAGCACATAGCGGCCCGTGACCGCAACCCGCTTGATCTAGTATTTAAATTTTGTGTTATAAAAAACTATAAAACTTAAGAATTTATGGCCAGAACAACGGGTGATAGTGGTTTCAACCAACAACCCAAATTACCCAATCGTATTATCATAAGGAATAAAGCTAAATAATCGTATGTAATAAAACGGTTAATTGAGAGTTATACACCCCCAATTGAAAATTTCAATTACACGGCACTAAGACACTGATCGGCAATTGTGATTTTCAAATAAGAATCAAACAAGAACTAAACAATTGGTCAAAAAAAAACAAGAACTAAACGAGAATTGATGTTGCGAATCTGAACAAGAATTCATATTGTTAAACAAGAATTAAATAAAAATTCAATTACACGGCACCTCCAAAAGCATCGTTGCAGACTTCAAGTGCTTCCTATTGCGGTGCTGCAGCCCCTGATTCACTCACTCGTTCACTCGAATTGCTGAATCCTTCTCCGCTCTCTATGTAATTTCTGTGCGAAAGCTAAATTGCAGAAAGCAAAAAGTCTGTGATTTGGGGACTATATATATGTATATCTTTAATTAGGTTTATTGATTCGAGCATGACCTTTGGTGTCCACCAGAGACTTTAATGGGCGGAAAGGAAGCCGCCGGACTTTTCGTGTCTACTCTGCGGGGCTCTTTAGTGCGAGGAACAGAAACCGAAGAGACTAATACCCATACCCGGCCTGAACTAAGCACGGGGCGGGGCGGACCTGACCCGTTTGATTCACAGGGCGGGGCGGACCCGCTCAAAACGGGGTGGTGCAGGGCGGGGTGGTGTTTTTTGCCATTCCTACCCGTACTCGTAGCCCACACCACCCCCTACCCCCAGGTCGGGCCCCGGTCCCGGCCAGCGGTCCGGGTCAGGACTGCACAGTGCCAGCCGGCCCCCGGGCCGACCCGCCCCACTGCACTTGATCATAAATGGAAATTCCTTAAAACTTCAATTACCACCAGGGCACCAGGTCCACCATTGATTGATTCAGTGAATTGCAAAAAATGAAACAAAAAATAACGTTAAAAGATAGATAATTGGAAAACTACATGCACAAAATTTAAGGTTGTAATCAACACAGATGCATCTTTTAGACTCCAAAAATCTTGAAATTGAAACATGGCTTACAATATCAATTAGTTCACACTACAGAGAAAATTTCCCAGAACATAAAAAATATCATTCCAAACACCCACCCACCATCCAAACTCAAGCAGAGAGGAAAGGGAATGGTGGATGGGACTAGAACCCTTACGAACTGATTTAAAACCAAATACTTTTCCTATAAAAATCACTGCTGGGCGCATTGGACCCTCTGACCACCACCATGCATATCTTCATCTTCATCATATGCCTCTTGTGCTGCCTGCTGCTGCTTCCTGCGCATCTCTTCTTCTATGTTAATATCATGCAAAGTGGTTTCCTCGCATTCATCCAATTCCATATCAGTAATTTGCTTTGAAGTCCTTGGAGGAAGCACTGCTTCGAGGGCCTTGCACTGTTCAGGGGATAAAGAGTCAGGGAAATCCACTGTGAAATGAATGTATAGCTTCCCTTTAATAAATGGCCTCTGGTACATCGGCATTCCTTCATCATTTATTGCCTTGAACTGATCTGTCAAAACA